GTCGTGCAGAGATCAGATGCAGATGGCTGGCGCGGCGTGAGCCTGCACCTACGCTTGCCACCACGCCACCATGATCGGCATTTGGTTAAGGGAGTGCAACTCGAATAACGCCGGCCGTGCCCTCATCTAGTCCTCGTCTTGGTCTACCATACGGTCCTTTTAGGGAGCAAAGGCTGGGTATATAATGTGTTCAAGAAATAAGTTCATTGCGACTAGGTTATGCTTATTCCGCAAAGAAGCGGATGAAAAGTTATAAGCATAACCAGTATTCTTTCCCCCAGTCATCCATTTTTCGTGGCTTATATACGGAATTCGTAAAAGGTCAGAAGAGATACTTGAATATTTATCCAAGCCTTTCCGCACAGGAAGGCTTGTCTACATAAACCACATTCCCTTAAAAATTCATGAGTGAAAAGTCGTATTGGCAAACAGCTGTTTTCCGTCATAAATCATCAGGCCTTTACAGTGACACGAAGAATAACAAAGAGGGTAAAACGGGCAGTCATGTGCAGTGTTTATATAGTTCTTGTGGTAGGGAGTAAATTATTCATCTCGTCGTTTCCTCGTCTTGTGCATGCCAGACTGAGAACGTTGGGTTGTGGAGCGGGGGACCGTTCTCACGGTCGACGTCAAATGCGAGGCGTGCTCTCTGTGGCTGCAGGTAACGTGGTTTCCGGCTGCATGGCTTCTGACGTTGTGGCTTCTGGCGGTGTGGGATTCTTGTATGCAGTCGGCCAAGGGAGGGAAACTGCATGTACCAGCGTCTTTTGACAGCAGAGAACGGGTTTTGCTAGACGAATTGCCACCGCCTCAGCTCTGGCTAGTACCCGTTTACGCAGGCCTTCAGAGTGGTGTGTTGGTGCCTGGTAGATGACCTGAAAGGCCTCTCTTGCGTCAAATTGGTGATTCGTATCCATTAAGTGTGCTAGGACTGAACGTGAAATCGACCGATTTTCACCTTTCCCTAGCCGGGCTGGTATGTGTTTGCGTACCCTCTTCTCCAGACGTCTCGTTGTTCGGCCAATATATCCCGCTGCACAGGAGCAGGTGAAGGAATAAATGCACATGAATGTGGCCTGTAGCGGTAGTCTGTCTTTGCCCCCATCCGCAGAAGGGGAGAATTTGTGAAGAATACGCGTAAGTGCGCCACCGGAAAAGTACTCGTAACTGCTGTCCTTAGACGTCGTTTTACTGGTTCGCTTGCTGTGTCTTCTAGAAAAGGCAGTTTTATGAATAGGTCTTTCTTTTCTGCCGTTGCCACGGCAGGCTTTGTGACACGTTCCTTGATAGTCCGAAGGATGAACCTTTCTGGATACCCATTTTCAGGGAGTGTGTTCTGTAGCCGCTACAGTTTTCCTTCAAACATTCCAGGAGAGCAGATGCGTCGTGTTTTGGCTGCCAATCCCTGGAATAAGTTTTTTTAAGATGAAGGGGAACAAAACTGTTGAAATTAATGCAATGCCCCGTCCAGGTTTTCTTTCTGAATATCCAGCGCTGTATTGAACCATCCTCTTGTCTGTGTAAGAGGACATCTAGAAACACGGTTTCTTTGTTCACCTGCGTTTCCGCAGTGAATTTTAGAGTCCGTACATGCACTCTGCCTGGGTGAACCGGTGGTCTCGCGTCGTTAGGGCGGCGTGCATTTTGAGTTAAGCTCCGCCCTAACAAACGGCACACCTCTAATGAAGCTTTGAGAAAGCCAAGCCCTGTGTGGCACACATGCCGTACAAACTCGAGTGAC